CACAGTTTTTTTGCAGTATTTCACATAATTTCCCTTTTGAATTATGCACAGCTGTATTATTATAATGCTGCTACTATGAGACACACATGGCTAATAAGGAATTATGGCGTTTCAATGTCCTGATCGATATTAACAAACTTGAAAATACCCTCTGCAAATCAAGAGTGTCCACTTACAGACACTCCCTCATCTGGCATGGCTGAACTTTGTACTGCAGGTTTGAGTTATGAGCTAAGCAGATACTAGCCATAAGAAATGTCAAAAAAGTTCAACTCCCCCCAAAATTTAGCCCCACAGGAAACCGACAAGACCAACCATAAACACATATTGTACAAACTCATTCATTAGACTTGCCCATTTTGAGAAAAACAAACAAAACAAACAAACAAAAAAAAAAAAAAAAACACTTTTATATCTTCTAACCTTTGGATTGTGTATCATCTAGTTATTTATTAGCTACAGTCATATGAACATCTTTTACCTAATGAGATACTTCTGAATATAAACGCATCCATACTGATATCTGAGAATTACCATGTTATTCACCCAAATTCACCCAAAAATTAAAATTGTGTCATCATTTACCCATATGTTCCAAACCTGTATGACTTACTATCTTTTGCAGAACAATGTTTTTTTGGGTTTGTTTGTTTATGTCCATACCTTGAAAGTGTAATGATGCACAGTCCAGTAATTTTCATTTATAGGTGAACTATTTGTTTAACATTAGTAGAACATTTGCTTCAGTATTTGGAGCATTTAACACTTTATCCGACTTGCTAAAACCATGGCAGGCCACCCTTAATCTTCTAACCTTTGGATTGTGTATCATCTAGTTATTTATTAGCTACAGTCATATGAACATCTTTTACCTAATGAGATACTTCTGAATATAAACGCATCCATACTGATATCTGAGAATTACCATGTTAAATAGTTCACCCAAAAATTAAAATTGTGTCATCATTTACCCATATGTTCCAAACCTGTATGACTTACTATCTTTTGCAGAACAATGTTTTTTTGGGTTTGTTTGTTTATGTCCATACCTTGAAAGTGTAATGATGCACAGTCCAGTAATTTTCATTTATAGGTGAACTATTTGTTTAACATTAGTAGAACATTTGCTTCAGTATTTGGAGCATTTAACACTTTATCCGACTTGCTAAAACCATGGCAGGCCACCCTTAACCCCATCCCTAAACTTAGCCCACACAACACATTGGGTAAAGTGTTTGAAAATTGACAATCAAGTTTTGTAAATATTTACTAGCAAACTAGAGACTTGATTGACCGTGGGACCTGGTTGTTCACTACACTGAACTTGGGTTGAAGCACAGTTAGACTATGTAATAATGTAGGGGAGCTAAGAGGAAAGAGGAAGAGGAGGGTGTGTGAAAAAACTTGATGGTGTGAGTCAACGAACAGTATATCCCATTGGCAAATATTTGTTCTTGTTTTAAGCATAAGCTCACTTTATTTTATTTAATTTCTCAGAAAACAAGACTTCATATCTTCTTTAAAAAAAAATAAGGGGGGGGGTAGGATGGGGAAAGGACTGTGAGCCAGGACTCGAACTCGGGTCACCCAAAGCACAACAGTGCTATATGTCAGTGCGCTGCCCATGAGGCTTTTGGTGCTGACAGCTTAATATCTTCAGTTTGCATCTCAAATGTATCTTGATTTAAGGATATTCAGATATTTGTATTGCAAAACAAAAATATTGAGAAAGATATAATTATTATTAAGACTTTGTTCCAATTTAAGACCTTTTTAGGCCCCGATCAAACAGAACGCGTTTTTCAGGTCTGAAAACTTGAGGTGCACCGCACTGCCTTTTTTTGTTTGATTTTAGAAAAAAAGAGCAGTGCGCTGCGGTTTTTTTAATGTTGCTAGGCAACCACTGAATCAGCTGTCCTGTCAGTGTAGCGCGAGCGCTCTTTGGTTTGCTGTTAAACTGTCATATTAGCAGAAACTTTTTTTCTTTGCAATTTACAAAAATTTACAACTCCGGGTAACCCACGACAGCCACAAAAAGTTTCTCCTCCATCATTGCAGTGTCCAAGCAACTGTAAACTTTCGTCAGCACAATGGAAGGCTCGCCTCTCCATTCATTCCATTGGAAAAAAACGTGAATGATGTCGGGCGCTTTTCTGTTCAGAGTTGCTTTTTTTCCCCCAACTTCAGGCGCTTAGAGCGTCCCTTCAAAAACGCGAGGCGCAGCAGGCAGCTAAAACACGAGGCGCCCAGGGCGCATAAACCGCACGCAAAACGCTCACTGCCAATAGAAAACAATTTTAAAAAGGCGCCTCTCACTGCAAAAAATGCGTTCTGTCTGATCGGGGCCTTAGGCTTTTATTTGTGGAAGGGCAAAATTAAGACATTTTAAGAGCTTTTTAAAACATGCAGAAACCCTTACTTGGATGCATGAACTTGATGATTTCATTGTCTTTGGAAGAGCATGAAGACCAGCTCTTTAGGGTTTTAGAGGGGCTGGAGGAAGTCAATCTGAAAATTTCCTTGGATAAATGTCAATTTTGTCAAGCAAAATGGAGTTATGTTGGGCATATTGTGTCCGCTGAAGTCACTGCCACCAACCCAGACAAGGTTAGGGCTGTCACCACCTGGCCTCAGCCTGTGGACCTCAAAGATCCTTTTTAGGGTTCTGTGGATATTATCGTAGATTTATTGCTAATTATGCAAAAAATTTTAAACCACTTATAGAGCTCACTAGGGGTATGCTCCAACACAGCGAAACAGGAAAGCCTACACAAATGCATCCAATATTTACCTGAAAGAGTCAGAGCCATTTGGTGACTGATGGACTCCCTCTTGTACAGAAGCAGTTCACCAGACCATTCAGTGTCTGACTACTGTTCCTGTCTCCGCTTTCGCTGATCCAAGTAACATATGTGTTACTTGTGGATGCTAGCCAACATGGGTTGGGAGCTGTTTTATATCAGGAGCATCCCTCTGGTCTGTAGCCAGTGGCCTTCACCAGTAGTTAGCTGAGTCATTTGGAACATACAGTAAGTATCCCATTCACCAGTAAGAGTTCCTAGCATTGAAGTGGGCAATTGTGTCCATATGGGGCTAAATTTACAGTCCGTACAGATAATAATCCACTCACCTATGTACTTAGCAAGTTAAATGTCACTGGGCATGGCTGGTTGGTTTGTGTAGCCATTTATAACTTGGTATCGATCTGGAAAGACCAAAGTAGATGCTGATTTATTTTCTTGCAGAGTGGTTGAAGACAAGGAAGCTGAAAATTGGGAAGGCATATCAGAAATAGGTGTCAAATCCATATGACAGAGGGTCTGTGCAGTCAACTGAACTAATTAGTCTTATGTTTCCAAACACACAATCAGTGCCTGCAGCCGATATAGCAGCCATGTACACCTTTATGGTGGAATAATCACCTCTCCAACCCTTCTTGTTGGAAGCACTGAACTGACGGTGCACCTCTGTGGGTCTTCTCCTCGAGAAGAACACCAATTAGTGAAGAGATGCCACTTCAAAGCAAACAATATTACCCAGAGGTCTGGTTTCAAGTGATGGTGCTTTATGTAATGTTATCTATTGTGAGTAATAAATCCCTTTTGACATTTGTACTGGCTACTGTATACAGGCCACCAGGGCACCATATAGACTTAATCAAAGAATTTGATTTTCTAATTTAGTACTGGCTACAGATATAGTCTTAATTGTTGGTCAAAGATTGAATTATGATGTGATTAAAGCGGCAGTATTATGTGCGTATGAGTTAGTTCTGGAGGCCTATCTTCAGAAATTCAGAAGACATGTAAAAATCCAAAGTCAAACATTTGTTGAATTCGCTCATTTTGTTTCATAAGGTAATGAAAGAACTGAGCATTACCCACACTGTGTCTAGTGCTAATCATCCTCAGTCTCAGGGTGTTATTGAACGATTTCGCCAAACCTTAGAGACTATGATTCGTACTTATTGTTTACAACATCAGAAAGATTGGGATGAGCAGTTACCACTTTTGTTGTTTGCATTTCGTAACACTGTGCAAGAGTCCTTGGGTCCAGCTGAATTAATTCTTTGGACACTCCCTTCGTGGACCATTAAAGTTGCTTCAAGTGCATCTCCTCGCTGAGGCCCCCTCATCTAAGTCTACCACCCTTGTGCTAGATTATGTCGGTTCTATTCGTGAAAGGTTACATTCTGCATGGAAGCTAGCACGTTAATCTTTAGTCTCATCACAGTCCAAA